ACGCCAATTTCCTCGAACTCCAACTTCTGGTTTCGCGGTTTTCGCCCCTTTGTGTCTGTCTCCAGGAGCCGATGCTTGGTGCTCGTCCTGGTCGTTTTCGTGGCTATTCCTTTCTCTCCCCCCCCCCCCCCCCCAGCCATTGCTGGGGCTTCTAATTCTTCTGCTCTCTTGATTCGGGCTGATGTTCCCTTTGTTCCTTTACTTTTTCCTTCGCCTCTCCATTGTTCTGCTGCTCGTATCTTTGTGGGGAAATGGTACACAGTTTGTTCCATTTATCTCCCCCCGAGTGTCCCGCTCTCTCTTCCTGATTTGAAACACCTCCTAGACTCCTTGCCGGAGCCTGTGCTCCTGCTGGGTGACTTCAATTGTCGTCATTCTCTTTGGGGTGACGTTCTGACGAATACCCGGGGTCGCCTCCTTGAGCCGTTTCTCCTCTCTTCTTCCCTGTCTCTTCTGAATTCTGGTGAGCCCACTCATTTGGACTCTCGAACTCGCACCCTTTCTTGTCTTGATCTTTCTCTCTGCTCTTCTTCTCTTTACTTAGATTTCACATGGCAGGTTCTTGATGGCCTCCATGGAAGTGATCATTTCCCCATCCTTGTTTCCTTTTTCTCTTTTCGCCCTTCCCTCTCTTTCCCTAGGTGGCAGTTTGCTAAGGCGGACTGGACCCTATTTTCCCTCAGTGCTACTCTCTCTGACCTCTCCCTTCTGCCCCTCTCTCGCGCTCTCCTCCTTTTTCATGACACTGTCTTCGACGCTGCCCTCCGCTCTATTCCTCGCTCTTCCTCTCGGGGTCCACGGAAGTGCGTTCCCTGGTGGAATGCGGACTGTGCTCGGGCTGTCCGCTGTAAGCGTGCAGCCTGGAAGAAGCACCGCCGTAGGCAGACGACCGATTCTTTTCTTTTCTTTCGGAAAGCGAGTGCGGTGGCCCGTAGGGCCATCCGTACGGCTAAACGTGAATGTTGGGCATCTTATGTCTCGACAATTACGTCCGAAACCCCTCTGGCCCAGATCTGGAAGCGTATCCGCAAGATAGCGGGTAAGTTCGTTCCCGATGTTTCACCGGTCCTTCACCTCCATGATACTCTTGTGGCGGACCCGTTGCAGGTCGCTTCCGAACTGGGTTCCCACTTTTCTTCTGTTAGCTCTGGTCTTCATCTTCCCCAATCTTTCCTTCTTCGTAAACCTGTCCTTGAGTCTCGTCCTTTAGATTTCTGCACTCATCTTCAGCTTCCCTATAATGATCCCTTCTCTCTCTCTGAACTTCGTTCTGCCCTGGCCCTCTGCGGTTCTACGGCGGCGGGCTCCGATGGTATTCATTATGAGATGCTTCGCCATCTCCCTCCGAGCACGTCTCAGTATTTACTGAGTCTGTATAATCGGATCTGGGAGTCGTCGTCAGTCCCTGAGGACTGGCTCGATGCCGTTGTCCTCCCTGTTCGCAAACCGGGGTCTCTGGGTACTTCCCCTAAGGACTTTCGCCCTATTGCTCTCACAAGTTGTGTCTGCAAACTCTTTGAACGTATGGTTAACGTTCGTCTGATGTGGTTCCTGGAACACCATCACCTCCTCTCCCCTTCTCAATTTGGTTTCCGCAAGTGCCGCGGCACGACAGATGTCCTGGTGAACTTGGAGGTCTGTATTCGTACTGCTTTTGCTGCGAAGACCTCCGTTGTTGCCGTCCTTTTTGACCTAGAAAAGGCTTACGACACCACTTGGCGTTATCATATCCTATCTCAACTTCATTCTTTTGGCCTTCGTGGTCATCTCCCTCTCTTTCTCCGCAGCTTCCTCTCTCGTCGTTCCTTTCGGGTGCGCCTTGGTACCGCTCTGTCTCCCTCTTTTCAGCAATACGAAGGTGTGCCCCAGGGTAGTGTTCTGAGCACTACTCTTTTTCTGGTTGCCCTCAATGGTCTTCTTTCCTCTCTTCCTTCTGGTGTCTTCTCCGCTCTCTATGTCGATGATCTTACCCTTTGTTGTCAGGGTGATGATTCGCCTCTCCTTCAACGCCGGCTTCAACTTGCGATTGATGCCGTGTCGTCTTGGGCCACAGGTCATGGCTTCAAGTTCTCTACTTCTAAGACTTGTGCCATGACTTTTACGCGGAAACGGGTTGTTCTTCGTCCCTCTTTGTCACTTTATGGTCATCCCCTTGAATACAAAGATTCCGCGAAGCTTTTGGGGTTATTCCTTGACACTCGTTTGTCTTGGTCTCCCCATATCTCTTACCTCCGTGTTGAGTGCTCTAAGTCCCTTACCCTCCTTCGGGTCTTGTCCCATACTTCTTGGGGGGCAGATAGGCGCACTCTCCTTGCTTTACATTCCTCTCTCGTCCTGTCTAAGCTCGATTATGGTTGCCCTGCTTACTCGTCTGCTTCTCCTTCTACTCTTCGCCGTCTTGATGCTTTGCACCATACTGGGTTGCGCCTCGGTTCTGGTGCCTTTCGTTCGACTCCCGTCCTTAGCTTGTATGTTGACACTGGCTTCCTGTCTCTCCAGGACCGCCGTGATCGCTACTGTCTTCGCTATCTTGCGCGGTCCTTGCAACATCCTTCCTCTCGCCTCTGTCGTGCTTTAACTTTTACCCCTCCTGCGGTTCCTGTTCCTCTTCCCCACCTCCCTCTTTCTGTCCGGTTATCTCGCCTCCAGGATTCTCTTTCCATTCGTATTTCTGATGTTTCTCCTCGTGTTGTTCCTTCTTTGCCCCCGTGGAAGGTCCCTCTTCCGCGGTTTTGTACATCCTTGACTCGTATCACTAAAGCTTTTACCCCTCCTACAGTTCTAAAACGCCTTTTCCTCGAGCACTTTTCTTCTCACTCCCGCTCCGTTTCTGTCTTCACCGATGGGTCTAAGTCAGCGGACGGTGTTGGCTACTCTGTTGTTTTTCCTGATCGCACTTATATGTGTCGCTTGCCTCCGGAGACTAGCATCTTTACAGCAGAACTTTATGCTATTCTCTATGCTCTTCGTCTCCTGCTTTCTCGTTGTCAGTCTTCCTTTGTGGTTGTTGTTGACTCTCGTAGTGCCCTCATGGCTCTCGGGTGCTTTAATCCAGTTCATCCGGTAGTTGTCGAGATCCAGCATTGGCTGTTTCTCGTTCACAGTAAATTTAAGTCGGTTGAGTTTTGTTGGGTTCCCAGCCATATTGGCGTGTCTTTAAATGAGCGTGCGGATGCTGCCGCTAAGGAAGCTGTCCGCTCTTGTCCCATCTCTCGTAAAGGCATTCCGTATTCCGACTTTTACCCGGTTATCCATTCCTCAGTCCTTACCCGTTGGCAGGCTTCTTGGTTGTCTGTTACTGGTAACAAGCTACGTACTCTTAAATGTTGTGTTTCCTCGTGGCCGTCCTCCTTCCACCGTAACCGGCGGTGGGAAACAGCTCTGGCGAGGTTGCGTATTGGCCATACTCGCTTAACCCATGGTCACTTGATGGAGCGCCGCCCTGCTCCTTATTGTCCTAGTTGCATTGTCCCTCTTACGGTCGTGCATGTCCTTCTTGAATGTCCTGACTTCCAGGACGAGCGTGTGTCTTGCTTTCCGACCGCCCCTCGCGGTCACCTGTCCCTCGATAGAATTCTTGGTGACTCGGATACTTTTGATATCGTTCGCCTTATGCGTTTTTGTTCTCGTATTGGCATCCTTGGTGATATTTAGCGCCCTCTGATTATTTTGCGTATTTGATGGTGCTACATAGCCTTCCCGGTTTGGTGCCTTCTTTTGATAATTACTTACTTAACACCCAGGTACCTATTTTACTGCTAGGTAACAGGGGCATACGGTGAAAGAAACTCTGCCCATTGTTTCTCACCAGCGCCTGGGATCGAACCCAGGACCACAGGATCACAAGCTGTCCGCTCGGCCGACTGGCACCCCCATGCTGCACATATTTTCTTAATAAATTGTTGAGGAAGAGACATTCTGTACTCTTGTTTCTGCTCTATGGTCATCCTTACATGGGTTTTCATATGTTGAGCCTTACCACTGACTTTCCTGGGACTCATTACGTGATATATATAATAATTACTTTAATGTTCAAAATGCAAAAAAATCACCACAAACGCAGAATTTCTTATAGGCGCGATCGTCACTAAGCGGGTAGCTGTAGTAAACTGAGGCAGGTCGGCTGCGTGACCGGGGACCACGCGCTCGGTCGACCCGAACGTGTACCAACAAATATCGGAAGTTGACGACACCATCGGATGTCGAGTTGCATTTTGTGATGAAATTTACATCATGACTCGAAATTATCGTAAGTAGGGGCAATCGTAATTCTAGGTGCCACTGTATATTCCTCTAGAACATTCTCTCCCGAACAAATTGATACCAAAATTAAATACATACATGGAAAATTAAGGTGAGAAGACCGAAAAGAGTATACACATTTCAGTCTCGCCGCGCGGTCGCCCAAAACGAATGGCACACTAAGGGAAAGTTACACAGGGTACTGCCAGGAGCGTGATAGTGTTAAGGTTACAATACCTTATTGATAGCCCTGGCATGTACAAATTAGACCCCCCCATGTAAGTTTCAATATAACATGTCAATACAGTGTAGCAACCATGTAGCTAGTTTAAATGCTATTCTCCTGTGTTTTTGTTCAAAAGAAAATTTTTTCACTTTAATCCTCCCATCTCTTTTTTTCTTCCCTCCTGTTTCTTATCCCCTGTTCCTTCCCCCCCCCCCCCCCTGCCCCTTCCCCTGCCCCCCCTGCCCCCCCCCCTGCCCCCCCCCCCTGCCCCCCCCTTTCTCCTTAAAGTATGGTTTCATCCCTAATTCCTTGTGGTCATGTGACCTGTCTCCCCCTGGGGGCTGACTATAAGATTTGTCCAGCAAATCTTTCCTCTCCACTCTATATCTTGCTCTGATAAAGGTGAATTGAGCCAAAAATGCATTCAGCTATCAAAATTTTTTCAAATGTGGTTTTTCCACATATATAAATATTGATATATTAAGTTATTTGCCTATATAACAAGTGTTTAACTTCCATTTTACTTTCTCAGAGTCCTGGGACAGCCGAGAAGTACAAAGAGTGCAATGTGTTGCTTCTCCTGCACATTTAACTGGTTTTGTGGACTTTTCTCCTTCCTACTGTGGCTAATACTGTAGTGTGTTGCATATTTTTGTTTGTTTGATTGCATTAAGGGATCCCTTTTTATGTTTATTCATACCAACACAAACATGTGCATCAGTATGCATGCACATAAAGTATGGATACAGACACATGCAAGCACACATAGTCACACATGCAGGGGGAGCAACACAAAAACCATCATATGAAGTATGGCAAGAGTATATGCCATATGATGTATGGCAGAGTGAGAGACCTTGAGTATAGTTCTCATCCTGTAACGACACTTTGGGCAATAACAGCATAATGTTGGCTTCATTCTGAGCAGCAAACATCTTTTTTCGTCGTAAAAAATATTTTGATTTTTAGTGCCGAGTGTATGACCGTCGCGCACTTAGGCCCACAAATAATTACTACTGATTAATACATTTATACATGTGGTTATTTACATTATACAGTGGTACCTCCATTTACGAATTTAATCCGTTCCTAGAGACGGGTCGTAACTAGTTAATTCATAACTCGAAACTAATTTTCCCATAAGAAATAATGTAAATTGAATTAATCCATTCCACACACCCTAAAATATTAACTTAAAAATACATTTTATGCAGAATACCAAACATATTTTTCATACACAAAACAATAAAGTATAAATATAAACCATAAATAAAATTAGTGAACATTTAACTGCACTTTACCTTTACTGAGGATGCTTGTTGACGCATGGGAGCCAGTGAGGAGGGAGGAGGTAGGGTGGGGGAGTAGTGTTGATGTATGGGAAGAGGTGAGGAGGTAGTGGTGATGAGACCATCCCCTGCTCGCCTTAAATGCTGTCATATCTGTCTCACTGGTTCTAGATTTTCCTTTCACATATTTCACTGCCTCTGTTATGTTGCAGCCAGTCAGAACATGACAGTCAAACATTCAGTCAAGACCAATCACAGGCAGTCAAGCATTCACTGTTGTGATAGCAACCAGTTAAGCATTTATGGTCAGTCAGGCATTCACAGTCGCAACCAGTCAGTTGGCAAACAATGTTTAATGTCAGGTACTCAGGGAGTCTGCATCCTGATCTATCAGCTGGTAGCAAGAAAGCCCACCATATTAATACCGTCCATATGATTGGGAGGGATACACGGGTGAAGAATGAAGGGTATGGATGTAGTGGGGAGGGACAGGGGTGACCAGCTCCTGTGTTATCCGGAAGCTGGTCTACTCACTGGCCACTGGAGGTGGCCACTCATGCCACCACCCACTGCTACCCACCCACCCACACTGACCACACATCCTGCTACCCACCCACCCACACTGACCACACATCCTGCTACCCACCCACCCACCCACACTGACCACACATCCTGCTACCCACCCACCCACCCACCCACACTGACCACACATCCTGCTACCCACCCACCCACCCACACTGACCACACATCCTGCTACCCACCCACCCACCCACACTGACCACACATCCTGCTACCCACCCACCCACCCACACTGACCACACATCCTGCTACCCACCCACCCACCCACACTGACCACACATCCTGCTACCCACCCACCCACACTGACCACACATCCTGCTACCCACCCACCCACACTGACCACACATCCTGCTACCCACCCACCCACACTGACCACACATCCTGCTACCCACCCACCCACACTGACCACACATCCTGCTACCCACCCACCCACACTGACCACCTGTCTACCATCCATTCATCCATCCAGTCCCCTCTCCATTCATCTATCCAGTCCCCTCATTATCCATCCATCCATCCACTCCCCTCATTATGCACCCATCCAATCCCCCTCATTATCCATCCACCCATCCAGTCCCCCTCATCCATCCATCCACCCACCCATCCAGTCCCCCTCATTATCCACCCATCCACCCATCCAGTCCCCCTCATTATCCATCCATCCAGTCCCCCTCATTATCCATCCATCCACCCATCCAGTCCCCCTCATTATCCATCCATCCACCCATCCAGTCCCCCTCATTATCCATCCATCCACCCATCCAGTCCCCCTCATTATCCATCCATGCTGTTGTCCTCCCAAATACAATATTCAAGTGTGATCATCACTAAGCAGGTGACACTAGTAATCTGAAGCGTGGTCGCCCCTGCCACCAGGAACCATGCACTGGGTGGCACCATGCACTTTACTTGATTCAACAAAGTCGCAAGATGAGGCAAAGGTCGTAATTTAAGTAGAATTTTCCAATGAAATTGGGGTCGTAACTCGAAAAATTTGTAAGTTGAGGTTCCACTGTATATAATAATTTCAAGAAGTAAAACATTGATTTGGCTTTGCCACTTTTCTATTGGGAGTGCTTTAAAATTTGATTACAAAGTGCAAAAATGCTTATGGTTTAGTTTGTTTAGATCTCTTAAATTTTGTGTGTGCGTGTATAGTGATACACCCTCAAAATGTTTACAATGATTACCATTCTTTATTTATATGTAACTGAAAATAAATTGTATACTTCTTTATGGGAGACTTTAAATCCATCACATTTCCTCCTCCTCCTACTATATTCAACTTTACTCCTATTTTACAATATTCCTTCCATCTCCTGCTATTCTATAGCAATATAATTCTATAGCATTAGATGGAAGGAGTATAGTAAAGATGTAAGAAATCTTGAACAAGGATTGGGATATAAGGTGAGATGTACAGGGTCGTGGCTCAACCACTTTGGCTTTATTGGCGATTCCCCCTCAGTGGACGGTACCTAGACATGGTGAGGGGGGCTCTTGTATGCCACCTGCTGATAGGAGATGATAGCTCTTGCTTGCTGTGGCAGTGCAGAAATGAAATACATCTCTATGTTGGGCATGTATAGAGACCTGTGCATGTCTTTGTTCCTTCACATGTCCTGGGACATGTTCTATTATCATGGGACATTGAAATTTGTGAAACCTGATGCAAGAATGTCTGTTGGAAATCTACATACGAATATGACAGATAATTTTAAGTAGGTAAATTCTAGCAGAACTAATAAAATAAGGTACATTGCAAGGAAAAAAATGAGATAAGAGATTAGTAGGTACAGTATATTAAAGCACATTGGTAGCTCTGATTGCATTGACAGCTTGATTGGTAATTTAAACAAAGATTAATAGGCACCATACAGTATATTGATAGCGCATATAAGAAGACAGCAATGATCACAATGGTAAAGTTGTTTGGAATAGGTACATAAAGATTGGGAGATTGAGTAGCACTAGATACAGTGCAATTTTAAAGCAACAAGGTAGGAAACTATGCAGATGAAATTAGGTACTTTTTAGTTTTGATTTTGAATGACGAAAACGTTTGACAGGTTTTTAATTCATTAGGGAGTGAGTTCCATAGACTGGGTCCCTTTATTTGCATCGTGAGTTTACACAGATTAAGTTTGACCCTGGGGATATCAAAGAGATATTTATTTCTGGTTTGGTGATAATGGGTCCTATTACATCTGTCCAGGGAGAGTTTCAGAGCATGGTTTGCATTTAAGAACAGGGTTTTGTAAATGTAATTGACACGAGAATGTGTGGAGCGAGTTTGTTTAGCATGTTTAGGGATTTAAACAAGGGGGCCGAGTGTTGTCTGAAAGCAGAATTTGTTATTATTCTGATAGCAGATTTTTGCTGGGTGATGATCCATCATCACCCAGCATCACATCATTTGTGAGCCACGGAAGAATGTTAGAGACATTAGGCAGATCATTGATGTATATAAAAAATAGGAGTGGTCCCGAGATGCTGCTCTGTGGCACTCCAACGATTATTGGTAGAGTGGGAGAGGTTATATCATTGATGGCTACACATTGGTGTCTATCACTAAGATGGGATTGGATATAGTCCAGGGCATGGCCTCGGATTCCATAGTGATTGAGTTTACGTAAGAGGTAGTTGTCATTAACAGTATCAAAGGCTTTTCTCAGGTCAATGAAGAGTCCAATTGGAAACTCATTTTTGTCAAGGGCTGAGTAAATTATATCAAGGAGACTAATAATTGCATCGTTGGTACTCTTTGGGAGTGGAAACCAAACTGACAGGGGCTGAGTATGTCGAATTTTATGAGGTAAGTAAGCTGTTAGTAGATAATTTTTTCAAATATTTTTGATAGTATGGGTAGGTTTGAAATTGGTCTATAATTGTTTGTCTGCTGGATTGCCTCCTTTATGAACTGGCGTTACTCTTCCATTTTTTAAGGATATCAGGGAAGATATGACACTAGAGAGATTTGTTGAACAGTAGGGCTATAGGTGGCGCAAGGGCGTGGGAGGCGCTCTTGTATGCAATGGATGGGATTTCACTGATGTTCCCAGCTTTGGTTTTTGGCGAGTGTATGATGGAGTAGTAGGTGAGGTGTAGCAGGTCGAGGGAGGGGGAAGACGTACCATGCGCGCTCCGTTAAAATCGTGTCATTAACTGGGATTCTTAGGACTACTGCCATGGATTATCCACCTATGGATGTCAACGAACAAACTAACATTAAACATCGAAAAGACTTACTACATCTTATTTGGAAGCAAATCATCAAATGCAATTCAGCTACAGATAGACAACATTAGTAATAAAAATGATGGCAAGTTTCTTGGCCTATTCCGAGACAAGAGACTCAACTTCAGCACCCACATTCAACACATAACTAAGAAAGTCTCTTAAGACAGTTGGTATACTCTCCAAAATCAGATATTATGTTCCTAACTCTGCTCTCCTCTCACTATATTATGCACTAATCTACCCCTATCTTAATTATGGTATCTGTGCATGGGGGTCTACCACTGCAAACCACCTTAAGCCCATCATCACACAGCAAAAATCTGCTATCAGAATAATAACTAACTCTGCTTTCAGACAACACTCAGCTCCCTTGTTTAAATCCCTAAACTTGCTAAATATTAACTCCCTCCACACATTCTCTTGTGTCAACTACATTTACAAAACCCTGTTCTTAAATGCAAACCATGCTCTGAAACTCTCCCTGGACAGATGTAATAGGACCCATTATCACCACACCAGAAATAAATATCTCTTTGATATCCCCAGGGTCAAACTTAATCTGTGTAAACACTCTATGCAAATTAAGGTCCTAGTCTATGGAACTCACTCCCTAGTGAATTGAAAAACTGTAAATCTTTTGCCTTATTTAAAAGCAAAACCAAAAAGTACCTAACTTCATCTATTTAGTTTCCTACACTGAGCTTTAAATTTGCTCTGTACCTAGTGTTACCCATTCTCCTAATTTTTATGTAATATCAAACAACCTTATCATTGTGTTCATTGCTGTCTTCTTTTATGTGCTAGCCATATGCTGTATTGTGACTACCAATTTTTGTCAACTACCATTCAAGCTGTCATTGCAATCAATCTTATATTGTTTCTGCTGTATTGTGCCTACCAATTTGTTGTCAACTACCATTTTAAGCTGTCATTGCAATCAATCATAGCTACCTATGTGCTTTACTATACTGTACCTATAATTTTCTCTCATCTTCTTTTTTTTTCATTCCATGTAATCTGTTATCATTTTTTTGTCTATAAATTTTGCAAGTATTTACCTCCTTAAAATTTTCTTAGATTAAGGACCTGCCCGAAACGCTGCGCGTGCTAGTGGCTTTACAAGACTGTAATTACCATATTTGTATCCTCACATTCCTTATGTACATTCTTGTATATGCATAAATAAATAAATAAATAGATTACTGAATACTGAATTACTTACATTAACAATAGAACTTTGTGTTACATAGAGAATAAACGGGAGACACGTGTGAGCCAGTGAACGAGGCTTTGTGTACATGCGTGTATTAGGAAAAAAAATAGTGAACAGTGATTCGTGGAACAGTGATGTGGAACGGGTATCACAACAACATATAAGTTGGAAGTGAAGGAAAATCGTGCATAGAATATTATAAATATAGAATACTAGAAATATAGAATAGTGGCAAGAGGCGGCATCAGTGGTTATAAATCGGGTAACTGGAAACTGGTGACATCAACCTGGGCCACAAGAGGTCACCTGTACCGACCGGGGACCAGCTTCGCTACCCTACGCTAAGTACCTGCCGTAAAGTTTGAACAAAATAACATACATAATATTACAAATATACGGTATACATATAATATTATAAATATTAAACATATAAATATATATACATATAATTTTATAGAGTTAAAAGGACTGACATCAACAAGTGATCCATACAGTGACTCTCAAATACAACACAATACACCAGACAATTACTACAATTATTAGACAATTATTACTCCCTTATCTATCCTTATCTCAACTATGGTATTTGTGCTTGGGGTTCTACTACCCAAAATCACTTACGTCCTCTAATTACCCAACACAAAGCT